GGGGTTTCACCATGTTGACCAGGATGGTCTCGATCTCTTGACCTCGTGATCCACCCACCTCGGCCTCCCAAAGTGCTGGGATTACAGGCTTGAGCCACCGCGCCCAGCCAAGGGGTTCTTATTCCTGATGCAGGTAGCCCCTACTGCTGTGTTGTTCCCCTGGTAGCTAGAGTTAGACCGCACAGCCTAAGCTAATTCTGATTGGCTATTTTAAAGAGAGCTGGGGTACGAGCCAGAGTGGTGGAGTGGGTAGTTTGGTGGGAAGGATGGTTATAGGACAGGTCAGAGCCGGTGACCAGGGCATGTAACTGAAGCAGGTGACTGGGAGGACTCAGGACAGAGCAGGGGACTGGGGGAACAGATGTGAACTACTGGTTAGAACTGGTGGAAAAGTTTGTTTACTGAAACTACAAGGAAGTTAAACTTTACAATGGAGAATTAAAGAATAAGACAGCTGAACATACTGACATACTGATTTCTTTGAAGAGGAACTTGGAGTTCACTATATCTAACAGTCACACAGCTAGTTAGGATAGATTAGATTATGCTATATATAGTAAACAATTCCCAAATTTTAGTGGTTTAAAATAACAAAAGTTCATGTCCATGGCTCATGGGTTAGCCAGGAATGTTCTGTGCTGTATTACTTTCTATCAGACTCAGGATGAGGGAGGCTCCATTTTTGAGCTTCCTTGATCACGAAGGCAGGAAAAATGGAACATGGTAAGGTGTGCACTGGCTGTTTCTGCCCAGAAGTGACTCATCACTTTTACTCATATTTTATTGGTTAAAACAAGTCCTGTTGTCATTTATGTAAATTAAGAGGGCCAAAAAGTGCTATTCCACCTGTGCTTAGAAGGAGACACAAACATTTTTTGGAAACAGAATTAATAAAGTCACAACTCAACCCCAAAGGCATACTATTTCATTTATATTGTTGGACTCACAGGATTTTTGTAAGGATTAAAAATGTGAAAACATATGGAAGAATTTCGCATGGGATCTGCCTTATAGTTAATGTTCAGTGAGTACAGAAATTGAACCTTAAATATTGGTTAAAGTAGAAATGGGTCAAAGTTTGTCTTCAGTATTCTTTTCTGGCCATTTTTTGGTACAAGCCTTTCTGGCCTCTCCCAGAACACTGTGTGCCTGGAAGCTTCTCACGGTTGCTGAGGCCTCATGGCAGTGCCCCTTTGCCCCAGTATCTTATGTCCTAGCAAAGTTCCTGTGCTCTGTTGATTTTGTCAGGAACTTGCTCATGGTCATATAGAGTCTTTAACTAATTTCAGAACTGACCCTTAGAGAGTATTTATTCAGTCTCTGGAGAGAAAATTGAGGCCCAGACAAGCCAGAGAACTTCCAGCTAGTAGTACAGCCAGAACCAGAACTCACACCTTTTTTTTTTTGGAGACGGAGTTTCGCTCTTGTTGCCCAGGCTGGAGTACAACGGCACAATCTTGGCTCATTGCAACCTTTGCCTCCCAGGTACAAGTGATTCTGCTGCCTGAGCCTCCCAAATAGCTGAGATTACAGGTGGACACCACCTGGCCCAGCTAATTTTGTATTTTTAGTAGAGACAGGGTTTCACGATGTTGGTCAGGTTGGTCTTAAACTCCTGACCATAAATTATCCACCTGCCTCGGCCTCTGGAAGTGCTGGGATTACAGGTGTGAGCCACTGCTCCCTGCCAGAACTCACACTTTCTATTCCTGAGCTTTTTCTACTGCTTCTCAACCTGGGCTGATCAACAGGTTCCTTGTACCAAGTTAGTGTACTTTGCTCACAGAGGGGATTCATGTAGTTTTCTTTCTTCCTCACAGTACTGAAGATGAACAAGAAGAGACATTGAAGGAGTCACCAAAGGAACTGAAAGAGAAAGACATGTATGGTCACCAAAGAGAGTTGCCTAGGGATGCTTGTGTAAAGTCTTTATTTTGGGGGACTGGTATATTCTTGTTTGTAAGAATCTTTCAATTTTTATGCGTAGATTTAATGTGAGCATGATGCTTCTTTCACCAAAAAGTTATCAAATTAGTGATATGATTTATAACTAATAGCAGCTTACACTCAAGGAAATGTAGTGATGATGATAATAATAATGTAAGTTTACACTTAAGGTAGATTAAACCTGTTTTCCACAAAATATCCTGGAAATATTCTATATTTCATCTATGGAAATAGTTTATTTTTAGCTGCTGAGATACGTTTAAAGTTACAGTATCTGGCAAAGAAACTCTATGGCGCTGGACGTGGTGGCTCATGCCTGTAATCCCAGCACTTTGGGAAGCTGAGGCGGGTGGATCACCTGAGGTCAGGAGTTCAAGACCAGCCTGGCCAACATGGTGAAACCCCATCTCTGCTAAAAATACTAAAATTAGCTGGGTATGGTGGCACGTACCTGTAGTCCCAGCTTACTCAGGAGGATGAAGCAGGAGAATTGCATGAACCTGGGAGGTGAAGGTTGTGGTAAGCTGAGATCACACCATTGCATTCCAGCCTGGGCAACAAGAGCAAAAGTCCATCTCAAAAAAAAAAAAAGAAAGAAAAGTCTCTATGATAATAAAAAATATGTATAAAAATAAAGTTACAATATCTTTTAGATATGTTCTTTTTTTCATTTTTTCGTTCTTTTTATTTATCTTTTTTTGTTTGTTTGTTATTTTTTTTTTTTTTTTTTTTTTTTTTTTTTTTTTTTTTTTTTTTTTTTTTTTTTTTTTTTTTTTTTTTTTTGAGATGGAGTCTTGCTCTGTCACCCAGACTGGAGCACAGTGGCATGATCTTGGCTCTCTGCAACCTCCGCCACTTGCTGGGTTCAAGCGATTCTCCTGACTCAGCCTCCTGAGTAGCTGGGATTGATTACAGGCATGTGCCACCATACCCGGCTAATTTATTTTGTATTTTTAGTAAAGACGGGGTTGCATTGTGTTGGTCAGGCTGATCTCGAACTCCTGACCTCGTGATCCGCCCACCTCGGCCTCCCAAATTACTTGGATTACAGGTGTGAGCCACTGCACCTGGCTAATATTCTCTTTAAGATGTATAAGATATTCTAAAATATTGTCTAATTCTGGCCTATTGACACATTAAAAATTTTGTTAAGAGTATACTTAAAAAGTATCTCTCAGGAATATATTGTTTGATTTTTCTAACCATCTTCTCATCATTACTGTGTGCTCTTAATTCTTTAGATCATTGACAGATATTCAAGACCTGTCTAGTATCTCCTGTGAACCAGACAGCTCTTTTAAGGAAGCTTCATGCAAAACACCCAAAAGAAACCATGCACCTACCAGTGTCAGCACTCCACTCAGCCCAGGTAATCACAGGGAAGAGAAGAACTTACTGCCCCAGCCCCTTGGCTCTGGGAAACCAAGCCATGAGATCAGAGCTGGTGGCTGTGTTGTCACAGTGCAAAGGTTTTTCCATGGTGCCAAAGCTGGGTAATCCCATGAGAGGCCAGGTGGCAGGGTGATGGTGATTATTGGGCAACCATTCGTAGGTTTTACTTAGAACTGCAGTGGTAAAGCCATGCAAATGCTAGGTCTCCTCTAAGTGTTACTGAATTTTGTGCAAAAGCATTGAATTTTGTAGGGTTTGCAACTTAAAACAGTACCTTGTGCTTGAACTTTATATAGTTCTTAGGTCCTGCAACCATGTGCAACCAGCATCAAATATCCTCTCTTTAGTGGCCTTATTTCCAGTATATTTGTGGGTTTTTTTTTTTTTTTTTTTTTTT